CCCCCAATTTTTAAATCAAATGGAGCACTAAGGCAGACATTGTTAAAATCTCCTCTTGTAATGTCATTAAATTCGCTAGTTTATGCAAATGGAAATGGATGTAATGACTAACGGTTCGAGTACCATAATTCATTAATGCTGGGTAATAAATTTAGTCTCTAAAAAAAACATGATTTCAGATTAACTTCTCCACAGACATGGGCATTTCATAGACATTTTCTTGTTTTGGAATTGGAATTGGAATTGGAATTTGAATTATGTGGCGTATGATTTAGTCGGTAGAGAGAGAAATGTAGAATTCAATTATCAATAAATAAGTAGGTATGAAATTGTCCTTAGTTAGAAATTAAGTTGACATCTTCGATTGCTCAATACAATTTAAATATTGGGTTTTGACTACTAAACTTTTCAAAATGTTTGAGTTACTCACCGAAATCTTTGTAGCATTATTGGCACCGACAATATGAAAATATGTTATCTTTTAAGTATTCCGTGAAACTCAAGACATAAACTAGTACGAAAAAGCAAGAAAATTTGAAAATCTTCTTTGCAATTAAAATATGGTGCAATTAATGATAAATGTGGGTAAGTTTATGTTTGGTGGGATTAAAATTTGATTTTGAGAAGAATTTGATAAAAATTGATGAAATATGTGATAGAAAAGTTATAGAACCCATGAAATATGTATTTAATATTGAATGTGAACTTTAATTAGTTTAAAATTTAAATTTTAAGCAAGTAAGTTGTAAAAAGACTTTGACTAAAAGATTGATCAATAATTCAGTGTACCTTTCTTAAGCAGAGGAAAAAAATCATTTTCACCACAAACTCCTCGAATTTGCAAGTTCTTGTTCCCTGGCCTATTGGGGCACATCCCGCGATTTACCTCTCTCACGATACTCTAGAGGCGAGGCGGGAGGGGAATCTCAAGGTTGGGGTTCAACCTTTAATCAACCACACGTACCAAATTTCCAAACCGAGAAAAAATGGAAGCTGTGGGCTATTGACGGTGTAAAAACCATACTTCAGAATTTGTTTCCGGTAGCCGTTGAAGAATTCAAACTCTTGTGGGGCTTTGAGAAAGAATTTGAAAATTTGAAAAACTATTTTGAAAAGATTTGCGAAGTTTTGGACGACGTTGAGAGGCGTGAAATCACTGAGAACGCTGTTGAAAACTGGCTTAAAGGCCTCTAAGATGTTGCCTATGATGCCGACAAAGTTTTGGCCGAGATCAAATATGAAGATTTGCATCATACAATAGAGACAGAGGACAAGATTGGGTGCTTAAACTTTCCTTGCATTATGACATTTCTGCGAAAGATGGCGAACAAAATCACTTTTCATTGGAAGATGTCACACAAGATCAAGAGTATAAATTAAAATTTCAGGAGGAGAAACAACGAAGTTGATAGCCTTGGCCTCAACAGAGTTATGGATCATCCTCGTTCAAAGCCTCTGGTCATGGAAACTAACAGCTTCACAGTTGATCCAATTGTCATTGGAAGACAAAGTGATGAATCAAAAATTTTGGAAACGATAACCAGCTCGATCAATAATGTCCTTTCAGTCCTTCCCATAGTCGGAATGGGAGGGCTTGGCAAGACGACTATGGCACGCAAGATCTTCGAACACCATCGTACAAGAAACCATTTTGACAAAACGGTTTGGGTTTGTGTATAAGAAAATTTTGATCAGCTGACGCTTTGCAAAAAGATCCTGGAATTATTATCGATCGAAAAATTTGATGGAGGTAGCAAGGAAGCTGTTGTTCAAAAGTGTAGCAGAAATCCCTCTATAAATCTTGATTCCGGGCTCAGAAAATAATCAAACGAATACTGGTTTACCTTGGCTCGACCCGAGACTTTCGCCTTCACTTTGGACTGCTCTCTTTCTCTTTAACCCCACAAATGAGAAGGGTGGTGGTGTTAGCAATCCACAAAGGTATGGAGAGGAAGAAGAAGATATCACGATGGTTGAATCTCACTCACAACCTCACATGGCTTAACTCTCTCTCGGTTGCCTTTCTTCTCTCAACTCTCCTCTCTATTGCTACAACACACACACACACACACCAAAAATGGCTAGGAGATAAATACATATATATAGGTTAGTTTATGTCACTCTAATTGGGCCTAAGGTTCACTAAGTGAGTTACCAATTAACCTAAACTAATGAGCCAATATTCAACTCCATATTAATCACTAAATAGTCCAACTAACCAAATAATCATCCAACCCAAACTCGAACCATCCAAAAGTGTAGTTCATCTCCGAGCCGAGCCAAGTCCATAGTGTCGATAAATAATCCGACAACTGTTTTAAATCATCGCCCGGATTATTGGATATCAAAAAACCCAACAATCTCCACCTTGATGCCCAATAATCTGCAAGCAACCAAAACATACGGTTTATACTTGCACAATCAAGGTAATCCAATAAAATTGAAATCATAGACCTTACCTCGTGTTTCGAACCGGAACACATATCATACTTGCTCCATGTACTCACCAGGGCTAAGGTCAAGAACACCCAAATAGAAACAAGTATTCACAGTGAACAAACAATCATGCGATGAAGATATATAGGATAACACACACAGATCTTTTCAAAACCACATTCACACAGAATCACAGATTAACACCTAGTTAATCAACACATGGTCATGCACATATGCAACAAATGCATAAATGACCCTAAGAAAAGATCTCACCACACTTATCCTATCCCATTCCGTGCTGCTCACACCTCGAGAACACATATCTCCTCTCATCGTCCACAATGCTCACTAAACCAATCACTTGACACATGTCTAACTGGCAAGTCACAATAGATCCTAAGCTCTTGAGATAATCTTCTATCACCGCATCACTTCTCCCAACCTACGTGGATAATGGGACTCTACCTTACAGAAGTGATAGAAGTGCCTCTCTCTCACTCCACATGTACAGGGTCTCTTTCACAGATAAAGAATTCTACACATTTGATCACATCTCCACTCGTGATCCAAATGTCACACTCCACATCCCCATGTACAAATCACCATGTACCCCTAGATATCTATACTCCACCTTACCAAAAGACATCCAACTCACTACTAATGCATCACAAACTCACTGCGGCAAAACAATACCTTTCGGTGACCACAAAGGTTACTCCAATTACCAAAGCTCCCAAAAATCCACAAAGAAAATGGTGAAGGTGGCACTCACAAAGAAAAATCGAAGAAAGAGTCGGTTACTTCACAACACTTACAAAGAAGGCTCACAAAGAGGAAGAATATAACCCTAACATGGCTGCGTTATATAATCTCACAAACCACATAGGCTCACAAAGATAAAGGAGAGAAACAACTGCCCAACTTTCTTCTCACTACCACACTTTCACACCACTCATAGAGCACATAGAGTACGCCACAAAACTTAACCCACTATGCATGTAAACATATCACACAAAGTAATAAGTCACTCTTATTCACGCAATTACACACATCAAACATATTGAAAGTGTAACATCAACATTGCAATAGAATTAAGTGACCACATACATGCAGAAAGGATTACAGACAGATGCACATGCAGTAACTAGGTTTACTCTCAATAAATCTCACTAGGATCACTACTCAACCCTAAAGTGACATTCACCTCGTCTCTATCCTCATCTTTCCTTTTATTATCATCCTAAGACAATCTTTTTCAACTATGCCCAAATTTTACCATAATTAAAACATATTTTAGTTTTCACACTTGCCTTAGGCCTATACATGCCAACAATACCAAATAATGACCACAACCAAAGTACTGACACATAATTCACATAGAATAGTCAAGTAAATTTTCCTAAGGTCACATGCAATTCTATCGGCATAGAAAAATTGGTGACAAATTCACATAGAATTTAAGGCAATTAATTAACATGAATTCCTAGGTCTAGCAACTAGCAATGGGTAATAAATGGATTGAACTATGAAAGAGTTGATAAACTCTAAGTTCAAGAATAATCCAAAAATGTGGGGAGTTATCATAAATGCTTGAGAACTTATGTGAAAAGTTTAAGTCGTATGGGTACAACGCTACTGCCCTAATTTAGGAATTGTGGGGGGTAACTTAGTTTAAAGTTACACTTTCCTGTACCTCTCAAGAAAATGGAAGAGACACCATATGAGTTATAGAAATGTCATCATCCTTCCTATCAACACTTAAAAGTGTGGGGGTGTTTGGCAAAGGTTGAGATTCCTAAGCCTAAACAAATAAAGATTGGTCCCAAAATGATTGATTGTATATTTATTGGATATGCCAATAATAGTAGTGCATATTATTTCCTCGTACACAAATTGAATGTACAAGATGGTACCATAATTGAGTCAAGGAATGTAATATTCTTTGAAAATGTGTTTCCTTGCAAAAATAAGGTAAATGTAAGTTGAATAAAAGAACATATGTAACTACAAATGGGTCTTCAAATAAGAAGGAACCAAGGCGTATAAGAGGGCTAGAACATCCATTACGTTTGGCCCGAATTTTCTAATATGTGTGGTAGAAAATGACCCAAAGACTTCTGAAGAATCAATGTCTATTCTCGAAGCACCACATTGGAAGGAAGTTATCAATAGTGAGATAAATTCCATAATGTAAATTCATTCATACATAGGAATAAGCTTTAGGGTGTAAATGGGTTAAAACCTGATGGATCCATTCACAAATATAAGGTTAGATTGGTTGCCAAAAGACATAAGCAGGAAGAAGGATTTGACTTCTTTACCTACTCACCCATGACTAGAATCACTTCGATAAGGTTACTAATTGCAAACTGCGACAATACATAATCTTGAGATTCACCAAATGAATGTGAAATCGGGATTCCTAAACGGTGAGTTAGAAGAAGAGATATACATGGAGTAACCTGAAGGTGTCTCCAAGTGAAAGCCATAAAGTTTGTAATCTTGTTGAGTCCTTATACGGATTGAAACAAACTCCTAAGCAATGACACCAAAAGTTTAACAAAATGATGTTGTCAAACGAGTTCAAAATAAATGAATGTGACAAATGTGTATATGTGAAAAATACACCAGATGCCTATGTGATTGTGCGTCTATATGTAGACAATATGTTGGTGATCGACAATAGTCACGAAGTGGTGCTAAACGCCAGGAAAATGCTTACGAAGCATTACGACATGAAAGACATGGGTGTGACAAATGTAATACTAGAGATAAAAATCTCTAGAACATCAGAATGAATTGTACTTTCCTAGTCTCATTATGTTGAGAAAAAATTTAAAAAAGTTTGAAGTATAAGAGGAAAGTTCGGTAAAAACCTTATTGACACAAGTCTACACTTGGTCAAAATAGGTGAAAGTGTGTCACAACTGATATATTCACAAGTAATTGACATTATAATGTATCTTAAGAAATGTACTCGATCGGATAATACTTTTGCTTTGAATAAACTTAGTAGATTCACGAGTAATCCAGACCATGATTATTGGGTGGCATTGACAGAGGTCCTTAGGTATTTGAAATATATCATGACCTATGGATTACATTTAACAAGATATCCTGTGGTATTGAAAGGATATTGTGATGCAATGGTATACACTAAGTCTATGGATGAAAAGGGATAAAAGTCCTAAAGTGGATGAAATGGGATGAAAGCCGATCATGACGGCTATTTGGATATACAAGAAAAATTGGAATATTAGAGAATATTCATAAATTTCAAATGCATTGCAATGCTTTAATGATGATATTGAATACACATGCATGAAATTCACTAGTAAATATGATTGACTAGTATAACGATTTGTTAGAAATCCTCCAACATTGTTGTTTGGAATTGATAAAATTTTAGATAAAGCTAATGAGAAGCATGTAGCTTCATGAGAGGATTTCTTAGTTGGTGACAATGTGTATCTATCAAATGAA